CTGTTCTCAGAATTTATGGCTTCATAGGTGAGTTTCAGGTGGACTCTGGGTTGCTTAACGTTTTAAATTGAAACCTTTGTGTCCCCTGCGGTGTGCACAGTCGGGCCTCAACCATCTGCACCGCGTTTCACAGCGAGCGCCCCGGCCGACGGACACAGGGCGTTGCTGCAGGAATGAAGTCTGCGCGTTCAGCCGCTCGCCTTGCCTCCCGCCTGCATCGGTTGTAGTTGACCAGGAAATGTTGGTATCTGAAAAAAAGAGTACAAAAATAAAAATTGAAACCGACGTGTTCAGCATAATGCTCTGGAGAGTCTCGAACTGGCCATTGGAAGCTTCCGGCACTCCTAACAAGGAAACAGTGACGGAGAAAGGGGAGATGTTGGTGAACAGTGCGGCTGGCAGGGCTTCGGGAGGCCCTGGGATGTTGGACACTCGCCTTCCCTTTTCTCCTTCTTTCTTTTATTTGTGCCAGGCTTAGGGCTTGAGCTCAGGACCTGGGCACTGTCACTGAGCACCTTACCACGGCTAGAGCCACAGTTCCACGTCCGGATTTGTTTGAGTAGTTGACTGGAGTTCAGAGTCTCTTGGGTTTTCCTCCCCAGGCGCCCCTCCCCCTCCCCCCCTCCCCCCAGCCCTCCCTTTCATCGCCGTCAAGGGTAGCATTTTAGTTTCACCCTTACACGTAATTTCTCCAACTCTTTTCCCACCTCTTTCAAGATTTTTTTTTCAAATGACCATAGCAATGAGAAGCATGCGGAGTGTTGCAACCTGGTTTGTAAAATGAACTTCTTTCATGTTGCTTCAGAATTCTTTCTTTGATTTCCATGGCTTGTTGCAATCTCTGGTCATAGACCTACGTTGGTTGTGATACTGTATCTCTGAGTCTGTATCTAGAAACGGTCGTTCCATTGTCTTATAGGCAAACTTTTAAATCTCTTTCACAATTCCATTGCATTTTGTTGTAATTGACTTATTGTTTCTAGTGGACCAGCTGTTGTGTCCATTTTCCCAAGTGATTTCTCATTTCTCAGATTGGCTATCAAAACTATGTGCACTAATTAGATACTCTTAGAGATAATGCTTTCAGGTTATTTATGCTAATATAACTTAGCAAGGATATGGAATTATTCCCATTTATGTCCCTTGCGAGTCTGGAGAGTCTCCGCTGGCCTCCGTGACCAGTAGGCTCCAGTCACAAGTCAGATAAAGCCCAAGCCCAGAATCCCTGGCTTCTGGGGACAGAGTCAATGCCGGTTTCAGCTGGCCGTCACATGGCTCCTCCTCTTTGGTGAGCACCCGTGTTGGCTCCCTCTCCACTCCATCCTCACCACCTGAACCTCCCCTTAAGGCCACGGCCCAGGAAAACACAGAGGCTAAGTGAGCTGTGGCTCGTCCACACAGGAGGCGAGCACACCCCACGGCCCAGACGCCGGCCGCGTCCCGCACACCAGCGAGGGCCGGGCCTCGGCCCTGAGCCAGCGCCCATCAGCCTAACGCCGCCGCCGTCCTGCAGGCGAGGCGTGCCGCCCCGGGACAACAGGCCGCTGCAGACGCCTGCGTGCGGCTCCTCCCTGCACCACACCGCCCATCGCGCTCCTGCCTAATGCTGACGCACGGAGCAGTCCACGCGGGCCGGGGACACGCGGGACAGACGCCCCTCACGTGCCCCAGTCCACGCGGGCCGGGGACACGCGGGACAGACGCCCCTCACGTGCCCCAGTCCACGCGGGACAGACGCCCCTCACGTGCCCCATCCACGCGGGCGGGGGACACGCGGGACAGACGCCCCAATAAAGCTCCTCTGATTCCTGTCCAACTCTCTTTGCTTTAGATCAATTTTTTTGAAGTCTAGCGTGCATAAAAATCACCCACGCCTCTTGTATAAAATGCAGATGCTGCAGCGCTAGTCATAGAAATTGAAACTCCGCAGCTCTTTGATAGAGCTCACGAAATCTACGTGCTTTTCACAGACATGCCAGGAGTTGTTATTGCTCATCTGAGTTTGAAAAGCACTAATAGCGTCTTCTTTTTGTTTAGAAGTGCACCTCAGACAGGTGGATGTGTAATTAGTGGCATTTAACAAGCGTGAGAAGGCTACATGATGCGTACCCTGTTTATAAGTATGTGTGTTTATGGTCCTCTTTCAGAATACTGTTTCAGAATAGGATTTTGTAAAAACATATTGCTTTATTCATATATAAGTTTAAAATATGTACAAATATTAAGGCAACAGTTATACTGATCCTTTAAGCTACCAAAAGATAATTCCATTGTCTATTACAAATGCATATTGTGCACTAGGTTCCCGGAATACAACAGTGGGAAATTTACAAGTGTAAATTTCAGCTAAATATTGGGGAAGAAAGCCATTGATAAAATGGTCATGAAATTAAAAAAAACTTCAATTGGTATTTCAACTATGAAAAAAATACACAGAATAACACATACCTGAAACATAGGGACTTGAGCCACGCAGGGACGCCACCGAGGTTGGTGAAGGAAGGGAAGCGGGGACGGGCACTAAATGAGAGGGAGAGGGGCGGGGAGGCTGCATGCTGGGAACCCAGGCTGCACAGAGATGGGCGGAGGGTGACCGCGGAGCCAAAGGCACAGTCAGTGCTGCGCTCTGCCAAATTAACCGAGACCAAAATTCCTTTAAAAGTTAACTAGAACGACTCATCATCTCTGTCCCTGACGATCTGCATCAGGAGAGCCAGCCGTCCTCATAGAGGGGGCTGCTAGGAAAGGTTAGGGACTTGAGTTAGGCTTGCAAATAGTAAACAAATCTTCCCAGAAAGCGATTCAGGCTGTGTGGTGTCCAGGCCTAGGCTTCCTTTTGAGTCCGCAGGTGCGGGACCTGGGAGAGGAGGGGGCTTCCCTCCCGGGAAGCCGAGGACCCAGCACAGCACGGGGAGGGTCCCGGCCCTCCCCCTTTCCCCCTCCCCCCGCAACCCCCCACGAGGGCTCTGGACCCCGGAGGTCGGAACACAGCTGCGGCTCACACTGGACCAAGCTCCCCTCCAGAGCGGCCAGGCCCTGCCCCTTCCAGGAGCGACGCTCTCAGTGCTGCATTCCTGTATGAAATGACTGAGGGAGCTGCGACCGAGGACCTGGCCGAGGCCCACGGGACCCACAGAGGCGCCAGGGCCCTGCCACGGCCACAGCACGGCCCACTCCAGAGGCTCCGGGGCCATGCTCAGCTCTGGCTCGGTGGCCTCCACCCACGCATGCGCGGTCCAGTCGTGCGTGTGTGAGTGTCACAGTGGCCAGACCCCGACCCCGGCCCCCCGCACCAGGTTGGGAACCTGGAGCCCCACACAGACTGTGCCACAACACCCCAACCATGCTGAGATCCCCCAAAACCTGGCTGGAGGCTGCGCCATACCCACAGCGTCCACACACACATGCGCCACAGACCACAACAGCGCTTCACAAGGACCGTGACCCTGGACTCTGAGCCAAAGGACAGCAAGACAGACGGATGGATGGAAAGATGATAGATGGGCAGGTGATAGATGGACAGATGATAGATGGTCAGGTGGATAGATGCATAGATGGATAGGTGGGCAGATGGACAGATGGATAGGTGGACAGATGGATAGATGGACAGATGATAGATGGACAGATGGATAGATGGAAAGATGGACAGATGCACAGATGGATAGGTGGACAGATGGATAGATGGATAGGGGACAGAGAGCAGCCCCTACTAACAGATCTTAAAGACAGATACTAACACATCAGAGTAACTCGTCTCTAAAGGTAGCATGCAGGTCACCTGCAGCCAGCGTCGGGATGTAATAAACCATTTTCCTCGTGTGCAGAGCGGGGAGGCCACCACTAACACCAAATCACCTCTACCATTATTATAGCTGAATTATGGTTAGCTTCTCCTAAGAGGTAAACTATATGACCATGATTTAAGAAAATCGTCACACTAATTGTTCGTGGGACACCTTTTGTATTTACAATAAATAGAAAAACGAATTTTGTCCGTAGGCTGAATGCTTGGTGCAGCGTTTTTGGAATCACATTCCAGCCTTCACATGGGCTTCTCTCCAGAGGGAGGCTTGCCACACAAGGGCCAATTCAGAAATTAATGGCAGAAAACCATTCATGGAATTTGAATTACATACATCATGGATCAGAAAAACATGTCAATAAGAAAGTTGTTGGTATTTTGCCGCAAAAACATAAATGTCCTTGCGGTTTCCAAGGCCATTAGCGCATTGTAGGAGTAACCTCAACTGTCATCGTGCTTTTCTTGAAGTCAGTGTGAGCATACATCAGTCATCCTTATTCTAGTCCATTCTCTCATGGCCAAGACAGAAGAAACCTCCTGTAATTCCCTCCCTCCCAGTCTCTGGCAAAACACAGTCAATGCAGCCGCGGTCTCTTGGCTGTCTCTCGGCTGGCTTTGGCATGGTTCTTCTGTGTCTGTCGACCCGGCGTGCCCTGCATGCCCTGCGGGGCCGCAGCTCCGGGGCCGGTGCCCGGAGGCTGTGCGCCAGGCTTTCGGGACACAGTGCTGGCGCGAGCATGGCCAGGTTTACTGCCTGCCGTGGCCTCTCTGAGCTGGGATTCATTTCAGCAGCCACAGTTGACACCAACATACAGACCTGTGGCTTTGTTCTGCCTTTCCCTGGGTAATGCGCTGCCCACTGGCTGTTGTCTCTGGATGCAAAGTTAGAAAACTATCCGATCAATACTAAAGGCCCCCACCCGGTGGCCACCCGGGCCGGCCCCCCTGCGGTCAGCCTCCCGTGCAGCACGCGCGCGCTCTGGCCCACCGCGGCCCTGGTGGGGCCCCACGAGGAGGACAGACGGCGGTGGTGGGGGCTCGTGCTGAGCTGCGCCCTCGCCTCTTCCCGCACGAGGAGGACCGACGGCGGTCTCGGGGACTCGTGCTGAGCTGCGCCCCTCGCCTCTTCCCGCACGAGGAGGACCGACGGCGGTCTCGGGGACTCGTGCTGAGCTGCGCCCCTCGCCTCTTCCCGCAGGTCCCCCAGGCCCCCCCGGGGTGGTCATCGTGGAAGAGATCACGGAAAGCACAGCCACGCTGTCCTGGAGCCCGGCCACCGACAACCACAGCCCGGTGTCCTCCTACAACCTGCAGGCGCGCAGCCCCTTCTCCCTGGGCTGGCAAACCGTGAGCACAGGTGAGAGCCCAGGCGCGGGGCGCACTCCGCCCATGCGGGGAGCACTCCCCCACTCCTCAACATCTCCTCTGGGCCTCAGAAACCCGCCCACCCCGGCTGCCCACGCATGCTGTCCTTCCCGGGGCCCAGCTGCGGGCCTCCCTCCCTCCCGGTTTCCAGGAGAGACCCTGCCTTGTGTGGCTGTGAGCTGCGTTAGGCCCACACAGGAGCAGACCCCCTGGGCCGAGCCACGCAGCCCTCCCCAGCGCCAGAGCCCAGCAACCCCAGAGCCCGGGCCCAGCAACCCCAGCGCCGGGCCCAGCAACCCCAGCACCCGGGCCCAGCAACCCCAACGCCCGGGCCCAGCAACCCCAGTGCCGCGCCCAGCAACCCCAGTGCCCGGGCCCAGCAACCCCAGCGCCCGGGCCCAGCAACCCCAGCACCCGGGCCCAGCAACCCCAGCGCCGCAGCCACTGTGCAGAGGGAGGCTGTGCTGGCCACATGCACCGTCATCCACGCAGGGCTCCCGCAGACTCCAGGCTGATCTGCGGTGTCCCTGGCAATGGGCGCAGCACAGCACCCCTGGACGGCTGGGGCGGGCCCCCTGTGTGCCCCCTGCCCCGCAGCGCCCCACAGCTCTGGTGTAATGACGTCTGGTGCATTCTCTCAGTGTCTGGTTTGAAGTGCTCTTCCTGCACCAAGCGTGTCACCCTGGTCCTTTGCTTTTTGTCATAAAGGGCAGCAGGGCTGCTCTCTAGACGAGGCGCCGGCTGCCGGGGTATGGCTCACCCTTCCCAAGGCCCCACACCCAGGCTGACCAGGGCTGACCAGGACTGACCAGGGCCAGCCAGGACTGACCAGGGCTGACCAAGGCTGACCAGGACCGACCAGGACTGACCAGGACATCTGAGGAGTGCACAAAATTGAGCAGTGGATCCTCAGAGGCTCAGGCTGCACTGGCCAGCAGTTTAGGCTTTGGTTGTATTTTAAAATTGAAGTAAAATATAAAACTCAATAACATATTAGCGTTCAGCCGTAAAACTCAGTCCGCTTTGCGGCCATGTTGGGGTCCACTGGGTCTTGAGCAGAAGTCTGGTGTGGACGGAGACGTCCACGCGCGGCCGGTGGCCCGGCTCTCCCCGCTGCGTGGGGGCATTCCAGCATTCCAGTCGGCACAGGCCCTGCTTCGTGCATGGGGTCGCGGCCTTGGCTCGTTCCTGTGTCTTCTCACAATTCTACTGCGGAAACCGGGGACCCCGCGGGCACGGCAGGTACAGACAGGGGCGATGGAAACGCCTGAGCAGGTCCACTGAGGAACTCACGACCCCCACGGCTCCCACCCCAACCCCTGCCACACGGAGAGCAGCCGGGAATGGCCTCCGTGTCCTCCCTGGTGCTGCGGGCTCAGCTGACCGCTGCCCCCCCCCGCTCCACCCCTGCACACATCAGAGCGTCCCCTGAGACCGCTGCCCCCCCGCTCCACCCCCGCGCCCATCAGAGCGTCCCCTGAGACCGCTGCCCCCCCCCGCTCCACCCCTGCGCCCATCAGAGCGTCCCCTGAGACCGCTGCCCCGCCTCGCTCCACCCCCGCGCCGGTCAGAGCGTCCCCTGAGACCGCTGCCCCCGCCCCGCTCCACCCCCGCGCCGGTCAGAGCGTCCCCTGAGACCGCTGCCCCCTCCGCCCCCGCGCCCGTCAGAGCGTCCCCTGAGACGCCAGCCACCGAGCCCCCCAGAGGTCCAGGGCTCCAGTGTCCTCACACCCGCGAGCCCTCTGCCTCCATCACACTCAACTCCAACACCATGAGTGAGCGAGGAAATCAGCCCACACCGTCCCAGATGCCACGCCAGAATAGCGCACCGCGCAGCGACCGCGTGACAAACACCTTCCTATGCCGAGAACAGCGACGTGTGGTTAGTACACGAGGCGCTCCAAGGAGACTGGAGGGCCCGCGTCAGCCCGCGGCTGTGGTTTCCATTTTTAATTAGGTCTAGTCTTAATTGGCTGCCTGGACCTGACAAGTGACGGCGCGTGTCTGCCAGGACTGGGAGAGGTGCGCCGCTCAAGCACAAGCAAAGCTCTCTGCTCAAAGCACAGAATCCGGGGCCTTCGCTTGGGGCTGAGAGGGAGACAGAAGGACGCGGGTGTGAACCAGGACGAGGCCTAGTGGCGGGTGACAGGCAGACGTGGAGGCTTTCTTACCAATGCGTATGGCCCTTGACACACTCTGTGCTCATTTCCTGCCCACAGGTGGGGTGACATCCCCCCCCCGCCGCTCTGCTCACACCCTGCCCACGGGTGGGGTGACCCCCCCCCGCTCACCCCCTCTTCCTCTCCCCAGTCCCGGAAGTCATCACGGGAGACATGGAGTCGGCCATGGCGGTGGACCTCAGCCCCTGGGTGGAGTACGAATTCCGTGTGGTAGCCACGAACGGCATTGGCACCGGAGACCCCAGCGCCCCATCCCGCGCCATCCGCACCCGCGAGGCAGGTGAGCGCATGGGGAAGCCCTCGTCCAGGACTCCTGCGGGCCGCGGGGCGCACACACCGGAAGGGAGCGGGCGGGGGCGGGGGCGTCCTCTGCCCCAGCACAAACCGCTGCCGCATCGCAGAGAAGGGCAAGCACCGGCCGCGCCCTTTGTATCATCCTTGTAGAAAGGGATCAGAAAAAGAATGTTTGACCTCTAACAAATTAAAGCTTACAGCCATACAAGTAAACTATCAAAACAACTGCGTATACCACACTTGATTAGAAAGAAAGAAAAAGAATCTCAAATTGGCAATTTATGACATTAACAGCATGATTCAGATTTCATATTTTTCATGTAAAAATTAAGTTCCCAAGAAAATAAAAGATAAAATACCCTAAATACGTTACAAACTAGTCATCCACAGGGAGCCCGGTTCGCCTGCTTTCCTTATCTCCTACGCTGTTTCTTCTGCGTTTCAGGAGTGTGAATTTTAAATTGGGCATTAATTGCTTGGTTGGATTTTCATTCATCCATAAAACCAGCCGGGTGTCCGTCGTGCGCAGGTGTTTGTTAATGAAGAGCGTGCCGCGCTGGCCGGCTTCCTGCCGCAGCCCGCGGTGGGTGACTCAGCTCTCCTCTGAAAGGCCCTGCCTCGCTTTGTGTATCGCTAACTGTGTTTCAACAAAGATGAAGACTGCTACCTAATTCAGAGGTTCTCAATACATACTCTTTTGACACATGAATAATCAGTCTGGGATGGACAATCCCTGTAAACTTTCTCTAGTATAAACCTGTCTGGCTGTTGAACAGCGCTTTAGGCAGAGCGTGCTGAAAGCTAAGCTGATCCCCAGGCTGCGTGTAGAAGACTTGGTCTACCTCTGCCAGCCCTCTGCCGTGGCTGCTGTCTGCATTTTATCATGAGTTCCCCACTCAGGACACCCCACAGTCCATTAAAACCCCAAGAAAGAGGCCAGACACGAAAGCCGGGGAAAGCAGTGCTGCCTGTCTGTCTGCGCCTCTGCCCTGGGCAGCGCACACGGCCACGCCAGGGCGCTGAGCCGTGTGTGTGCGTGGGTTTGGTGGGTGGGGCAGACAGATTCCAGGGGACACCGGTGACACTCAGTGACATTAGAAACACCTAAGTTCCAGACATCTGTGACCACGAATGTTGAAACTCCGTTCACCAGAGATTCGCTGGTCCTTCCTGTAGATCAGAACATTGGCACGGTAACTGCTCTGGTGCCATTTTCCTCAGTTAAATTCCACATGAATCCTTGGGTGACGCAGATTCCCTGATCTCATGTAGCCGAGGTAGTGACCTGTCTTGACTGGTCTGATGTGTTCTGACGGTGGACGGAAAGTGTTGGTAGCTGTGGCCACTGATCCCGTGTTAGCAGCGGTCACGTGTGCTGACGCAGACAGAAGCGCATGCAAACAGAGCCCTGGATTCCAAAACAAAGTCTGAGGAGCAGCAGCCGTGTTCCGCAGAGCTTGTTACATTTTCACGGGACTTTCTCTCCCCCTCCCTGGCACAAAGACAATTCTTTTTTTTTTAATTTTTCTTTTCCAGAACTATATAAATTCCGTTTTCATTTTTTCCCTAGTACATAAAATTCTGTGTGAATATTTACTGGTGATTAATCATCTTTCACTCAAGCACATGATATGCTGAGTGAATTTATTGTGTATGAGTCTATCAATACCATTTAAAACCTGCATGCTGGCAAAGAGTAGACAGCCCTGAAGCCGGCAATTGCTAAAGCAGCCTTGGGCCTGGCAAACAGCTTCTTATAATAGTTTCCTCGGCTGGGAAGCGTTCCCTTCTGCCGAGGCTGCAGCTGGGGGAGGGGAGACGCTCCCGGGACACACTGATCACCAGCTATGCTCGTGAACAGCTCGCTCCCGGGACACACTGATCACCAGCTATGCTCGTGAACAGCTCGCTCCCGGGACACACTGATCACCAGCTATGCTCGTG